CGACACAAGAGAACCGTTTTTTTTTTTTTTTTTTAATATTGCGTCAAGCATAACGCTATTTAATTTCTTCATCTCCAAAGATGTGTTATAGACTTATAGTGGAGGAAGTCCACTCACATACTCCCAAAAAAAATTCACATACACATGATACGTGTACCAACCCAAAAAAAATAAAAATTTAAAGAGTATTAATATTGCATAGCGGAAGCAAAATTTTGAATCCCACTGGTGGGTTTAACTTTCTAACCCACCGGCAGGGGGGGAAATTTTTGTGAGCGGTCCCAAGATTTAACCTGCTCTTGATACCATGACAAATTAGAGAAGAAGAGAATAGAATGGCTTGATTATTATTCATCAATAGGTTACGTATTTATACAAAACCTAAGCTCATAAGATAGGAAACAATCTTCTTAAAAGAACGCCTAACCATAAACCCTAAAGATATATTCTCAAAATAATATCTTAATATAAATATCCTAATTAAATATATTATTCTCTTAAATGATATCTACGGAAAATATATCACACATATATTTTCTGATATCTCTAACACAAGGAGAATTATATATCCTAGTTTTCATATATGTATATATATATATATGTATGTATATATATATGTATGTATATATATATGTATATTTATATATATGTATATGTATATGTATATGTATATATATGTATATGTATATGTATATAGTTGTGATCCAATGAGAAGGATGAAGAACAATTGTTGGATTAAAGAGAGTAAATTAAAAAACCATGCTTTTTGATAGTTAATCAGTTTACTCCACAATGAAGTTGTGGCCTACAACGTTTGTCCACAATGTGGAGTAGAATTTTTATGTGTATTCAATATTCTATAAAAAAAAAAAAAAAAATCAGGCAACTCCACAATTAGGTTGTGGCCAACAACGATTGCCCACAAGTGCGTTGTGGAGTAGACTTTTTATGTTTATATACATTCACTTTTTGGTATTTTTCTTTCATCTCTTGGATTCTCTTGTAACCTTTCATTGAAGTGGATGTTTATGGTGATTTAATCACCTTTTAATGTCTAGATTCATCCTCTGGCTTGAAACTTCATCCTTATAAATTTGGCTTGGTTATTTTCTTATTGGATATACATCAATCATACACAAATATTAGCTAAACACATTTGTTCTTTGGGCTATGACTCCATCTCTCATCCAAAAGTGTCTTTGAGTGAGAGTGGTGTGTAACCTTAGGGAACGTATCAGCGATACAATGTACACCTCGGTTGTGTCGGAATTCGTTTTCAAAGGCAGTGATAAAGTCACCTCACACCATCTTCCCTTTAATCAAACTATTATATTATTCATTCTATTATTCGTGGCCTTTGAAACACTTATTTTACAACAGCAATCTCAACCGTGCAAATCATTAAATCCAACGGATCATACATGCTTAAAAAATTGAAGCACTGGGCAAAATGATGAAAAGCCCGACACTTTAAAATTGATACAAGAGTCATATCTAACAAAACTCACCTATTAAGTTGCCTAATATGTATAAGGCGACTTGACAGGTTTTCGAGTCACACCTTATTTACAGGTGACTTTGAAAATCTAATTTAAACCACCAAATAAGTCGGATGATAGAGTCGCATGCATATATGGGGCGATTTGTTATAATATTATCAAGTCGCCTCATATATATTAGGCGTCTCGTTAGGTGCTTTATTGATTTTAAGCTCAACTTAACAAGCCGCCTAATAAGTATGAGCCGACTCGATAGGTTTATAAGTCGCACCTTATGTACAGGTGACTCTAAAAGTCCAACTTATTAGGGCTTTTTTTGTAGTAGTGCTGCTAGCCTAGTTAAATTCTTACAAGGATATTTTGTGAAAAACTACCTTTTAAACTTTGACTTTTGTGAGAAACTACCCTAAAAACAAAATGTTATAATTAACTACCTTATAAAGTATAAATGTTGTAATTAACTACCTTATAAAGTATAAAATGTTGTAATTGACTACCTCCCACCGGAATAACACATTTGATTTTTATTTTCCGGTGTTGACCATGTCATGTGAGGGTCACATGATCCTTTAATGACTTAATTCTCCCCTTTCTCCCAAAATTTCCCGCTTTATACCAACTATTTTCCATAACAATACGATTATTCATATTTTATATTGTTTATTTGCAACCCCTTTGATAATTACATGGGCTGAATTGGTGTAAAGCGGGAAATTTTGGGGAAAAGAGGGGAATTAAGTCATTAAAGAGTCACGTGACATGGTCAACGTCGGGAAATAAAAGTCAAATGTGTCATTCCTGTAGAGGGTAGTCAATTACAACGTTTTATATTTTATAAGGTAGTTAATTACAATATTTTGTTTTTAGGGTAGTTTTTCGCAAAATCTGGAGTTTAAAAGGTAGTTTTTCACAAAAAATCCTTCTTACAATGTATTATTGCAATTCTCAAAATATTTAGTAGAGATGATTGCATCCTTTGATCCTTCAAAAACAAATTGAAATCATTACAAAAATTATAATTAAGAATGTTATTAATCTATTAATCAATTTATCAATTATAAAAAAAATCAAATTTCAAACCAAAACCGTTTAACTACCCGAAACCAACAGACCCAAATGAAAAAACAAACTGATTACAAACCAATTTTTAAACCAAAATCGACTCGAATCGTATTTTAGTAATCCCTAAACCGAACCGATCCGAATAATGTTAAAAGAATAAAACCCATTAATGAATCAAACTTGTTCTAAACCGAATTAAAATAAAATCGAAGCGAAAAAGAACCGAATCGTTTCTAACACAAAACCATTTAATACTTGGGATAAAAACCATTTACACTAAATCATTAACAAACCACAACTCGTCTGCACCGAACTTTTTACTACCCGAACCTTTTACAACCCGAACCGAAATAAAACCGCTCAAGAATAAACTGAAATCAAACCAAACTAATAACAATTTAAATCTAACCGAAACCGATCCGTAAGACACTTGAAGCGATTTCAAATCAATCCGTTTTCAAATCGAACCAAAACCGAATTTTCAACCCATTTTGACAGTACTAGTTTTTGTGTACAAAGGGTGTATCTAAGAATTTGCCACGATTTGACTCATACAAACTTTGACTTTTACCTATCCTCTTCTACTATTATCTGTCAAGATTATTGGGCTTTCCACTAATTTTTAACCGAACAAAGTTACTTGATGATGGGGGTCATACGCCATAGCTTATGGTCATTGGTTGAGCCGTTGAACAATAAAAAATTGAATGCATACGACATCAGTCCAAACAATAAAATCAAGATTGTAATTTGATTCTTTGATGTCCCCAACAAACATTTCGTTCCATTTAAAGAAAAAAAAAAACTATTTCTACACGCTCTATTCACTTTTAGTTACAATACTAGGTTAAAGCCCGTGCAACAATTGCACGGTTGTTCAATAATTTTATTCACAGTAAATTATAAAAATAGTGTTTTTTTAAGTACTCGACTCACCAATTATTAAAGAGTAATTTAAGGAGTATAAAGTACATTAATAAATCCGGCCACATATAAAATTAAAATGAAGAATTTAATATTTTAGAAAGTTTAGTTTATATTTTACATAATCTAAATGTAATAATTTAAAATAAGAATAAATTATTTTAGGCAAGTATTGTTGGAGGAATTTTTTTATTTTTTATTTTTTTAAAGCAAGTATTATTAGAGGGAAAATTTTTAATATAATATTGTCAAGTTTCCATTTTGATTTTGCCTTTAGTAATATGTAATTGAAGGAAGATAGAATGTAATTGCTTGCTTTGCATTCGAAATGTTGGCAGAATATATACAACTGTACAAGGATAGTTAGGCCTATAATTGAGGCTTAATATAATTAATATTATATTCTAACAGTAATAGATACTCGTATATGATTCACATTCTTACACTTCGGCACTTCGCCTAATATGTTTTTTTTTTTTTTTTTTTTTTGACACAATATATGTTAGGTAAAATAATCACATGTTGAAACCCATTGTAGCCCACTTGTGAGTGTCCCACATTGAAGAAAGAGGAGAGGTGGTTCCACTTTATAACGTAGATGAGCTACTCCTACTATTGCCAATTGATTTTAGTATGAAAGCTCCAAAGTCTTGTTTGTGGACCAAACTCTCCTCCTCCTTGTTCGGGTTGCCAAACTGGTTTTAGTGTGGAAGCTCCAAAACCTTGTTTGTGAGCCAAACTCTTCTCCTCCTTATTCGGGTAGCCCAGACCCATTTTCATTGTTTCGAAATTTATCATGGTATTAGAGCCCAGGTTTGTTGGGCCGTTTATAACTGGGCATTTGTCAAGCCACTGGTTAAGGGGCCTCTATTGGATGTTCATTCCCAATGAGGATTATATTGTACCTTCTGGTGTGCTCTAAGTTCTAAGGACACTCACAAGTGAGGGAGAGTGTTAAAACCCATTGTAATCCACTTGTGAATGTCCCATATTGGAGAAAGATGAGAGGTGGTTCCACTTTATAAGGTAGAGGAGTTACTCCTACTATTGCCAATTGGTTTTTAGTGTGGAGCAAACTCTTCTCCTCCTTGTTCGGGTAACCTAGGTCCATTTTCATATTGTTTCGAAATTTATCATCACATGATATATTATTTTCAATTTTTATGTTGGTCAAAATATAGTCATGTGGAATATTATTATTATCCATTTTTATTGTGTTAATGATTAAAATATACTGTAATTATGTGGGATACTATTATCTATTGACATACACAAATTATTATTGTTGTTCAAGAGTTCTAGTAGCATTCAAAGGAAGCTAACTAGCTAAGTAATAAAATGAGTCATCAAGAGGTTGGTGAAAAGATTATTATAAAAAATAAATAGAGTCGTAACCAATGCAAGTAATTCAAGAGCATAACGTAACTATGAATAGCAAGTTGATGAACCACATTATAAAAGCCAGGCTTCTCGTCTCATTTTCATTACAAACATTTCTACAACATAATACAAGTTAATAAATATATCGACCAAATTTCCAATATAGTTTTATTCAATTATATATACATTACATACATACATACATTACGTTATTTCTCTTTAATATTCATACATAAAAAATGGCACCAGAAGCTAAACACGATCAGCTGAAACCAGTACAAGAATTACTAGAAAGTGGGGTTGTGCCTGAAATGTACCTCCAACAGCTTAAGGATGAGCATCAAGTTGGTGACGGTCCTCTTCCTTTGATGGACGGTCCGATCATCGACTTTTCGCTCCTTTCATCATTCAACTCTGAAGAGCTTTCGAAACTTCGATCCGCTCTTAGCACTTGGGGTTGTTTTCAGGTTTGTTTGCACCCTTAACACAATAACACCCCCTTCCGTCCAATCTCGAGTCTATTTTTTTTATATAGAATAGAATGATGTTATATACGAAGTCTTTAAGTATCTATATTTTACGAAGTGTCTATTACTCTATATTAAATTAAGGTTTTCTTTTATTCTATTTATTAATTATTTTACGTAGTTAGACTTATTATAATTGACTATCGTGTTATATTTCTCTAAAAACTTGTATATTTCAACTATTAATATTTTAAAAAATTGAACATGACTCCGGAATTATCTAGTAAGATAATATATGAGATAACAATGACTTTATTAGACAAGGAGTATTTGAATTGTTTTTCTTAATAATTCCCTAGTTTTATCGTCCAATACTATATAGAATGTACTAATAATAATAGGCTTTATAGAGTATTTATGATGGAAAAAAGACATTATTTGAACTATTGAAGGTGGACAATCAATTTCTTATAACACACATTAATATTGGATCGGATTTATCAGAAAAATTAAAATAGAAAAATATTTATCGTTGGTACTTTTAGATTTCATGTTGGTATAATTTTATACCAATAACATAAGGTCTAAATATACCAACTAGGTTTTTTTTTTTTTTTTTTTTTTTTTTTTTTTTTTTTTTTTTTTTTGGTAAAAAAAGCAAGCCAATTTTATTAAACAGCAAGGTGTGTTTTTCACGGAAAATGAAGCCAATTTTATTAAACAGCAAGGTGGCTTAAGTCAGCCATTAAAAACTCAAAAACCTCATTAGGAAACTCTTGTTATTGTCCTTCATAACAATAGTAATTATGGACATGGACTTTCTCATTATTATCACACCTAATACTATAACTAAATACGAGTAATACCAAACAAGCTATAAAGTACCGAGTATAAATTTTTGTACAATTTTCTACGCATCTTCATTATTAGTTAGGCATTTTGAGATGGTAAGTCATTACGGAGTATAATTTTCTTGCATTAAGTTTTTTTTTTATTGAATAGTTCTTAATATTAAATTAATTTAGACACTTTTCACATAATACTATGTATATTTTTAATTTGGGTAATGCTATACATAGCCCTTAGGGCTATATATAAGCATTGAATTTACTCTTGGAAAATGTATAAAGTTAGGAATTTATGACAAAAACACACGCAAATCGGTGTAATTAGTGTGTTTTTGTCATGATTTTCTAAATTTAAACAATTTTCAAGAGTAAATTAAATGCTTATATATAGCCCTTAGGGCTATGTATAGCCCTTAGGGCTATGTATAACATTTTCCTTTTAATTTATATGTAATACAGAGCATATATGTATATAAGTAAATACAGTATTACATTTTTATTCAAATTAAACTGTGAAAACGGCTAAGAATAAAAAAGAATTGAAAAAGTGAAAAACCCCAACGTGTGGCAAAAGGAAGTAATGTTATTAAATTAGTGACTCTTTAACCTAAATTAATTATGTCACCGTGAACCGCCAATTTGCATGAGTACGTGTGTTGTTTATATTCCTATGATCCTATCATCTCCTTTCTACTACCACCTTAACCTAACCCTATTCTCAAACTGTATATGCTACGGAGTTTTAATTATCTTCTACTACCACCATATTCCTAACCGTATTCTCAAACTTAGTTGATGGTTGAGTGATTTAGCTGACGCTTATTTTACCTACTATTTTTTTTCTTTAATTATGACGATCATATAATTTGAGGTAAATCTAATTAATTTAATAAGATCTTTAACTATAACTAAATACGAGTAAAAAATATACAAGTTTGATATTATGAAAGTGGCAATTACAACTTTATCTGCCAAATAAATGAATTTTTGTTAATCTGGTGGCATTTCTGAAAAAAAATATATAGAAAAAGCGTGGTCATTTATTCAGTACTTTTGGCGAACTGTCCAATTACTGTTTGCAATTCAACTTGCATTTAGTAAATTACACATGTAACCCTCCATTAATATATGAAAAGACGCATGTACCCCTTCAATGGTACTTAAAAAGACGATTATACCTTTAGATAAACAAATTTTATTTATCTAGGAAATTAACTGGGTACGACTCTTATAAAAGTGCAAATTGAATCAAATTTAACAACTAGATTTTACATAATTATAATATTTTTCCTTAACCATAATTCGTTAAAATAATCAAATTAAGTTATTTGTGTGAATTAGAAAGTGTTGCAACTTTTACGAAACGAAAAAAAGTATATTTCGGTTTCATGTGGCTCTTCATATACAATTTGTATTTGGGTATGTAGTTTGTGTTCAATTAATTTTATTTATGCATATATTGAGTGCACATAAAAGTATCATTAAAAATTTCAACTACCAAAATGTATAAACTTTTAGTTAGCTTAGATCCTTTAGCTATGAATTAATTAATTGTTAGGAGCTTAAAACTTTTTAAGCCAAAAAAAGGTTAGAAAAAAAAAAGGTTATTTTTGACCAATTTATTTTGAAGTTAGCTACACACTCTATATGACTCTAAAATCGGTGGTCAAATGTTTTGTTACTTTTTTTTGTTTTGTGAGAAAATGTTTTGTTACTTCACATATGATCAATAGTATTTTGTTAACTTTATCAATATCTAGAAGCTAATCTTTTTTTTTTTTTTTTTTTTTGAACGGATCTAGGAGCTAATCTAGTGAATGTTATAACGATGAGTCTAACCTAGTGCTACTATGGTATTTATTCAGCTTGTCAATCATGGTATGACCAGTGAATTGCTAGATGAAATACGAGAATTGAGCAAGGAATTCTTCAAATTGCCGCTAGAGGAAAAGGAGAAGTACTCATCAAAAGGCGATAGTCTCGAAGGTTATGGCAATGACAATACAATCCGGCAAGGGAATTTCAATTGGAATGACAAACTCCATCTTCAAGTTCATCCAGAGCACAGGCGTCAACTTGAATTTTGGCCGGAGAAACCTCAAGAATTTAGGTAACAAAAATAAACCATAGTAGTCATTCGATTTTATAACATGTCAATTAAGAGTTTAAATTTAAAATTCTGGATTCGCCTCTGCTTGCAGAACAACTTTACACGAATATTCAAATAAGACTAAGGAAGTATCCAAGACACTCTTCAAAGCCATGTCACGTTCATTGAAGTTGGATGAGAATCGTTTCTTTGAACTGTGGGGAGATGACAAGGAAGACATAATACATGCAAGGTTCAACTTTTATCCTCGATGCCCTAGCGCGAATCAAGTTGTTGGGTTGAAAGCACATACGGATGGATCCGCCATTACTGTTCTTCTGCAAGATAAGGAGATTGAAGGGCTTCAAGTCTTAAAAGATGACCAATGGTTTAAGGTTCCTATCATCCCTGAAGCCATTATCATCCATGTTGGTGATCAATTGGAGGTACCCTTATATATATACTAGTTTTCCCTTTATTTTCAAATTTTCAAATACATGCAACAATTTAACTTTTATGCTTTTCAATACCTAAATCAATATCTTAAATTAAATACTATGGAGTAATAAAAAAAACAAAGTTGATATTTTAAAAAATATTTATTGAGACTAATTGATATAATAAGATTTTATATTAAAAAAATTTGTATTAAGAATATATAGTTAGTAAAATGAAAGTCAAACTTAGTACAACGTTTGTGTATTTATTTAGAGACAGAAACTCAAATTTAATTTATTTATGGAGTATTAGTTTGTGATACTAATACAAAATAATTACTTCTAATAACTGTGTGGCTATGATACTATTAAAAAAAACACACACACACACACAACTTAATTGCTAATTAAGGATAACATCAAAAACTAACATGTTTATATATATATATATATATATATATATATATATATATATAATGTTGAATTGAAATTTAGGTATTGAGTAAAGTTTAGAGGTGTAGGTATGTTAGACTACTTATGATCAAATTACATTTAAAATTTTGTAAGATCAAAATGTTGTATATTGCTGATAAATTGTCCATAAAAACAAATTTTGTAAGACCAAAATGTTGTACATTGTTGATAAATTGTCCATAAAAACATACATGTGTATTTATTAGATTATCAAATTTATTTCTACTCCTATTAATTAATGCTAATATAATTTTGTTGATATTACAGATTGCAAGTAATGGTATATTTAAGAGTCCAGTCCACAAAGTGGTTATAAACCCAAAATGTGACCGTATTTCATTAGCCATGCTTCCTCTTCCAAACCCAGAGAAAGAGATTGGCCCACTTAAGGAGCTCATAACTGAGGATAGGCCCCAAATGTTCAAGAGGCTCAAAGATTATGGCCAAATTTACTTCACTTATATGGCTTCTATGGAAAGGCAAATTAATGCTGTCAAAATTAATTACTAGAATTATACGAGTAATTAGTTACTAGAGTTGTCTTTTGAATAATATATGTGTTCTAATGTTGGTTTTATCATCATCATGTCGTATGTATTTTTATTTAGTTTATCGTTTTATAATATAGAAGAGAATTGTGCTTGTAACCTACCTTGTAGTAGTACAAATACAATACCCTAGTTTGTGCTGTGAAATTACTTGATGTACTAATAATAAGAGTGAGTTTTCGAATTAAGCGTAAAAATGCTCCGTATTTATGTCTTTAATTTAGAGTTAATGTCATCCTTTATATTTACTCGGTTTTTTTTAGGAGTTATTAAACAACGCTCCTATTTTACTAGGCACCGTTCGCATTATTAATATGAACTTCCGTATATACCCCTCGTAAATAAATATTCATGACACTCATTTCTGAAATCATAACTCACTTCACTCCCATTTCATCTTAAAAAAAGGAAATGGAATAGAGAAAGGTAAAAATACACTGTCAAAAAAAAAAAGGGTAAAAATATAAAAGTGCCCATTTGATGTAAACATGAACTAAATATTAATGTGACAAAGTAAGGGTATGTTGGGTATTAAAAGAAAAAAATAAAAATAAAATACAAAAGTGTTCATGTACAATATTAAAAGATTTGAGGAAGTATATAGTGTTAGAAAAAAAAATTGTTTTTTTTTTAAGGAAGAAAAAAAATTTGTTAAATGATATGATTGTTGTGCTTCTTAACTACCCAACACCCAAATTACAATTGTACTCCGTAGGTTTTTATAATCATAACCCAAAGTCCCAGATAACAGGTACATAGTAAATAGCTATATTCACTTATTATGATGCTTTGACGCACATTAATACGAAGTATTTGTACTCACAAATACAACTTTTTATTAGCTTCATAATATTGAAAAGTCTATATCAATAATGAGCCACACATAACATTATATTGAAAACTCTATATCAATAATGAGCAACACATAACATCATTTTAATTGTTACCTTTAGATAACTTAGACCTTGTTCTTTTGAGGTTTTGGACAGAGTAGGGATTAGCAAAGCAAATTTCAGTAGAGCAGAACAAAGCAGATTTCAACAGAGCATGGTTTCCAACACAATGCAAAACAAAGCATAATAGAGCAGAGTAGTTTTCAGTAGAGTAGAGTTGGGCAGAGCAGAGCAGAACATGGCCTAACACTTACGAGTATAAGACCCAAAAATAAAAATAACAAAAAATGGGATTCTCATTTCATATTATACCACTTTGTATAATTTGTCGTAAGAATGTGGCATCGTGTTTTACGTATTACGCAACTACACTAAGGGTCTGTTCTCATTGACTGAAGTGAGCTGAACTGAACTTATTAATTAGTGATTTTTAACTATGGATTAGTGATCTTTGATTATTTATTATTATACATATGTGTGTATACAAATATACATATTAAAATATTTAAGAAAAATATACTATATAATTAAAATATTTATGGAAAATATAGTAATAACATGAAACCCTAAAACATTTTAAAAACATATACTATTTAATTAAAAAATAAAATTAGTTTAAGTTGTGTAGTACTCATTTTGTCAATGAGTTTAACAACAAAAATATGTATCAAAAAAATATAACCATTTGAACAATGAATTGAATTATTATTATTATTATTATTATTATTATTATTATTATAATTACTATTATTATAACTATTATTACTATTATTATTTATGACTGACTTTGTAGGTTTTTAATAATAATAATAATTATTGTTGTTGTTGTTGTTGTTGTTGTTGTTGTTATTATAAGAGCTTACAAGAATGAAATTTGGCTTTATATCATTAACAATATCATTAGACATAAATTGAACTGAATTGATTAGAGCTGAAATAAACTGAAAATAAGCGAATGAAAACAGGCCCTAAGTCACTATACTTTCTTCCAACGCATAGATCAACCGAACAATAATAATGTGCGTGATCATTAATTTGTTCAGTCTTCTTTTGTCTTCGATTTTTTCTCTATCAACTTTTCGACACACCATTTGCATAGTGGGAATTTTAACCAAATTAGATCAATTCTTTTCCTTCTGTTTTTCAGTCCAATTGACACAAATGGTTATGATCTATTCAACTTCATCATGGAATATGGACTATATGGTATGTTAATGCCAAAAATCGTCGAGAAACGACCTTTGGTTGGGATACCGATAACTAGGTAAAAAGGGGGGGTTGCGAAATGTAAACAATGGAAATAGAAAGAAGAAAGACACGATATGGTGACGCGGAAAACCCCAATGAAGGTGGATAAAAACCGCGGGTGGCTACATACTTGTCCACCAATTCACTATGATACGGGCGTTATAGCCATTATTGGTACAAATACAACGATAACTCGGGCATATAAGGCCATAGATGGTAAAGAAATAAATAAGAACGAGATTTAAGTATACATTAGAGCTATTGAGAATATATATAAACTTTGAATCAATCGTTGTAGCTCGTAGAACAATCGGATGAGACTTGTCGTCGTTTAGATCGTCGAACGGAGCCTCATGATGTATCTTTTGATGATGTATCTTGTAGTGTATACTTATGTGGTGTTTTATGCTTGGAATATGATATGTATGATCTGCCTTAATGGATGGTCGTTGCTCTCATTTTATAGGCCATTAAGTGGTAGAAAATCGGTTGAGGAAGATAAGGATGACTTCCTTGATTTTAGGAGGTTGTTTGTTGACTTCAAGACTTGGTCCCTTGATGAATGTGGACTTTTTTAGGCTCCATATCCATTGTAACAACTTCATTGATTGGTTAAAGGCTGCCAGAAATTCTCTCCTTGATTATAGGATCCACTAGTAACAACATCGACTTGTTCCGCAGCTTTCTGGCATCGCACTGCGAGACGCGTCATGGTTGGACGTCGGGCGTTAGCGTCAGTGTCATCTTCAGACGTCGTATGACTGAAGGACGTCAGAGGTCACTGGAGGTCGACGAAGGTCACTGAAGGCCGTTAGACTTCGCTGTAGTTTGTCGGGCGTCAAGTATTGACGTCCGTCACTAAGGTTCGTCGTCACTAAGGTGCGTTATTGACATTTGCTATTGCTTGGAAATGAACATTAGTTTCCTTGGCATTCCCCATCTTATTCAACCTTGAACACCAAGACTCGTCTAACCAACGGTCGTCTTGGTCGTAGGACAACACTAAGGAATTTACTTTGTTTAATGAGAATTTCGCCCATAACAATAGCCCCCATTTTCTTAGTTGAAGCACGCCGTAAACTAAGAAAATAAACTTTGCACCTGATGTTACATTCATATTGGTCCTAGCGTTGTTCAATGGCAACACTGGTTTGTAACTTATCATACTTTTGTTTTTACACACGTGTGTTGGTATTGAGAGACTTGTGATCTCATCTTTCCTTGAGACAATCTGACTTGATGTCAAAATAACCTGTTTGCAACACTTGTTAGAGATAAAGCCACTCAAAGTAAAATTAGTTTAATAATCATTGATTTTTACTAGCGACATAGCCATGTAAAAAGATAAACATATGATATAGTCAGGTGTCAAGACCATTTATGTTGTTGTCAAATAATGTTTGACAAGATAAACACATAAGACATTGTAAAGTGATATCGGGCGACATGGCCATATAAGAAATGGAATCTGGCGATAAAGCCATACTGGCGACTAGGCCATTTCGAGTGTCATCGAAAGATGTCGGGCGACTAGGCCTCTTAATGATAAACTGGCGTAAAGGCCACTGGCGTCTGAGGCCATTTATGAATCTGGCGTCAAGGCCACTGGCGTCTAAGGCCATTAGTCTAAGGCCATTTGTGAATCTGGCGTCAAGGCCACTAGCGTCTAAGGCCATTTGTGAATCTGGCGTCAAGGCCACTGGCGTCTAAGGCCATTTATGAATCTGGCGTCAAGGCCACTGGCGTTTGAGGCCATTTGTGAATCTGGCGTCAAGGCCACTTAAGCTATTGAAATGTAGATTTTCTGGTGACATGACCACATGGCGTTGAGAGACAAATTCTGGCGACAAGGCCAATAGTAAAGAGAAAACATTTGGCAACAAGGCTAATAAGATTTCAAAGCATAGTGTTTCAATGCTAAGATCATTCAAGAAGAATATGAATTAAGTAAATATCACATATTAGTGTAATTACTTTATTAAGACGTGGTACAAGCGTCGTATGCTTCATGATTTCTAACTTATGTTCTTATACATGTGAATGTCTAAATGTATGCACTATTTGAATCGTATCGATCAATCGTTGTCATGCGTAAGTAGTTTGTATGTGTTTACATGCGTCATGAATTTTAGAAAATATAACAATGATGAGACATAGATTATAATTTAAGAGATAACATTATGACTTTTGAATTAAACTTTTGCTTTAGCTATCTAAGACATGAGTCATATGCATAACTAATCGACAAGAATTACATGCTATATACTTAGGTTGTTATCATGATATCAATAGTACATGAAATGCATCAACTAAGTTATGAAACTCATACCATTGAATATTGTTACGGTGTCTTGTGTCTAACTTTTGAAGTCAAGTGTCTTCGTTGTCAATCGGGTGTCATCGAGCGATTGTCACTAGATCTCGATGTTGGACTCGTGCGTCATGATGTCAAGATGGTGATCATCCTCGTATTGTCAACGGAAGTGCTTTGGAGCGCATATGCAACAACACATGCAATGACAAAGAAACATATGAATTCATTAGAACACAAGCGACATGGGTTACATGCAAAATAATTATATGAAAATAAAGAAAAGTGATTGGATAGGTATTCCCTGTGAGTTGTATTGAACATGCAAGTCACGAATGACATTCATATGACATTAGATCTTCGATTGAAGAGGTAACTTGCACTCGTGTTACTTTCATCACTCGATTGTTCATCGACATTGGAATCTGATGACGCTACTCGAGCTACTGTCGTGTCTTAGCTTGACATCGCGTCTCAACTCACTGTCACGCGTCGGGATCTAATGACACGTCTCAACTTACTAATGTGCGTCGGGATCTGATGACGCGTCTCGACTTGAGTCGGATCTGATGACGCGTCTCGACTTACTGTCGCACGTCAGAATAATCATAGTATCATGTTCAAGTGTAAGAGTACTAGCCCCCAACTATTGTTGTTGCAACATGTGGCTTAAGTTTCTTGCACTTATCTCCATTAGGTTTGTTCTGGATGCCTTTAGGATAATCATATGTCAAAC